GGCGGCGGAGGGACGCGCGGGGAGGCGGCGGTGGAACAGGCCCGGGCCCGGAGAGGGAACGGGCGGGCGGGGGTCGGGAGAACGCGGAGGGGTGAAGGAGGCCGGTGAGGAGCTCTCAGGAGTGCAGGGGGGAGACCGCGATCAAGGGCAGGTGGGAAGTTGGGGGGCAAGGAGATGGAGAGCGGGTGGAAGAGGGAGGGATGCGGGGCTGCAGGAGAGAGCGGGGGATGAGCGGTGTTGAGGATGAGTACAGCGGTGGGCGGCAGCATAAAGCTGAGGCAGCTAAAGGGGCCGTGAAGTCCGTGTGTGCAGCGGCTGGATGAGTGAGGACAGCGTGAGATCGCAGGGTGGCAAGGGGTCAGGCTGCAGGCTGCAGCAGGGTGGAGAGTGCTCTCATAGGGATGGAGTGACACCGTAAAGGGACCAGGTCACCCTAAGCTCCTTGGTTTGTTGTTACGGCTGCCAAAAGTGGTGAGGGGGCCAAGAGCAGCAAAGGCACAGAGGGTGGGGAGCCCTGGGTGAAAGAGCCCATCAGGTATCATTTTCATGGAGCTCCACCACCAACCATCACTATGGGACAGTCCTACATCTTCCCAGTGCCTTGGGTGACCCTCAAGGAGACAGGACCTGCATTTTTCCGGTGGGGAAAGACAGAGAGTGCCTCTGAGGTGCACAGGCAGTGCTATGGTGGAGATTTAGGCTGGCCACATCAAACAGCACAGGGCAGAGGCAGGAAGGAGATGCAGCTTTAATGGCATTTGTCGATGTTTACAAATGAGTCATCCAGCTAAGCAGCCCAGCTGTAAATCAGCACTCTAACTCTTCCAGCATCAGTTGCGTCCCCTCCTTTGTCCCCCTAGCCCTGGACGAGTGCCTGGCTCCTCCAGAAACAACCTCATAAATAACAGCAACAAAACAAACCCTCCTGCAGCCACGGTGGGCCTGAGTGCACCAGGCGCGAGATGAACGCCTCCCATCCATCACTTTAATGATTGTACTCTGGAAATTAAACCTGTCATGGCCCATCAAGGTGAACGTTTTAGGCCTGTGACACGCCTTCAGCTCCCCTCCTCCTTCCTGGCACTTTTGTGGCTTTCCTTCTTGCCTTTTCTTCTCTGCCTCTACAATTCCTGTCCCCCCATTTCAGCCCTGCTCCAGTGTGTGGTACTCCCTGTGGTCTCCTGCTGAGCCAGGTTGCATATCAGGTGATAGGTATCTTCAGCAGCCATTGCCTGGCAGGTGCCACCATTTCTCTGCCCAGTCCTTCTGTGTTCCTGCTGGGAGCTGGCACAATTCTCCTGGAGCAATGGGTCTCTCCTCCTCTGTTGTCCCGACAAGCAAAGGCAGGGAATTAGGTACTATCCTTTCATGCTTCCCCATCCCTTCCTCCTTTCCTTGTATTTTTTCCCCCTCTACATTTTATTTCTCTCTTGCCCCACGTTACACCAACCACAGCAGGCTCCTGGCACCTGCTCCTACCCTGGCTCGTATCTACCCACTTGGAGCAAGGGCTGCCGCCTCCCCAGAACCAGAGGTCCCCACCGTGCAGTTCCAGGGGTCTGGACACCTGCATGTCTTGAGATGGACTGATTAGGGAGAGGGAACCTGGGCAGTGAGGATGCCATGTCCCCAGGGGTAAACTGCTGAGCTGCCATCAGCCACTGTGGGTCACTGTCCCCCTGCACAGGACCGTCATCCATCTGTCCGTCTGTCCTCATGCTCCTCTCTCCTGTCACCTGCTTCCCCTGCTCACCTGTCTGTGTCCCCCTGCCCAGGGTGCTGCCCTCCAGCCACTGACAGGCTTTTCCCAGCCTTGCGATGTATGACAGCCCCACGCCAACGCTAACCCGTCCCTTCCACCACTGACTGCCAGAGATGAGCCAGGATTCCACAGGGACTTGTTACACTTCAGCAGGAGGAGCATCATGGTCTGTCTGGGAATGGGTCACCCACCCCGGCCCAGCCTGCTCCACCCCTGCAGCTCTACTGCAGTGCACGGGAGTGGTGAAGCAGGGCTGCCCCCTCGGGCTGGCCCTTCTGCCTTCACGGCCATCTCAGCACCCCAAGGGGAGACCCAGTAAGTGCACAGAAAGCATGGGAGATCTATAGGGCCTTCCAGAACTCTCCAGCATCCTGTGAGGACATGGGCAATCTGCTTACTTAAGGGAACTCAGTGCTTAACCCTAGTGTTTCTAGGGAAGTGGTAGAGAGTGTCAGTCATCCTCCTGCTACCAAAGGCTGATTTCAGATCAGTCAGAGTGAGCAAGATCCCAAAAGCCTAATGAAACAAGCCCAGAAAGGAACTTAGATAGGTTAAGCATCACCATGGGAAAAGGGGAGCTCACCACAGCACTGAGCCTTTGCAGCCTGAGCACTTTCCTGCCTCCCTTCACCCCCACTTACTTGGGGAAATGCCACACCAATGCAACCAGGCTAATTGCAGCATGGAAATCAGCTTTGCTTCACAGGACACTTTTGCCTTGCAAAGCACAGACCCTACCAGGGATGCAACTGGTGCAGGAGGAGGCAAGGCAGGCTGGCATGCAACCTGGGCATCCTTCCCAGCTCTTCATGCCACCAAGGGGAAGGACAAGCTGGCACCACACTGTGATGTGCTGCTCCAGGCACTGTCAGATCTGTAGGAAAGTAGCAGTGCAGTCAAAGAAAGGTCCAGGTCTCTGTTTTCCAGCTGTGCCAGCAGGCTGCCAGCTATTCAAGTTTGCTCTCCTCACCCTTTTCCCCAGAGACCTGGTAGGACAGCACAGTAGCAGGACAGGGGATTTTCCCATGTCCTAAGGAAAAGCACAGGCATCCAGATAACAGCTTTATAGGGGAAGGATCTGGGGACTCCTCCAGATACACACAGAGGAATAATTACAAGTTAAATAGGATCCAAACACACATAAGTTAAAGAGTGGCAGGTGCCCTGCAGCCCCCTGCTCCTTCCAGGCACAGTCTGTGTCTGCCAGCAAAGAGACTCCCCCCACAACACAGCCTGGCCCTTCTCCCAAGCTGGCTCCATTCGCCTTTCACAACACAGAGCCAATCTTCCTGTCTGTGGCACCCATCTCGTCCTCCTCCTCTTCCTCGCCCCCCGAGCAAGACGAGTCCGGACCATAGCTCAGCTCGGCGGTGCTGCAGTGCAGGCAGCCTGAGTCAGGGCTGTGCCCCATGAACTCGGGGCTTTCAGCAGCTTGTCCCTGGGGCTCGCCGGGCAGCAACTTCTCACAGGTTTTGCTGAGCCCTCGTTGCTTCTCAGCCTCCACCTGAGCCCCCTGCTCCTTGGCCTTGCGACTCCGCTTCCACTTCATGCGGCGGTTCTGGAACCAGATCTTCACCTGCCAAGGGAAAGCCCCCAGGGGAGAGGATGTACCCTGTTCCATCCTGTCCCCACTCACCCCCTCACCTTCCCTGCATGGAGGGTCCCCCCAAAACCTCTTCATTGTGGGGTATCCCATGGTGCTACAAGTATGTGCAAAGAGGCTGAGGCTGTCACAGAGAGAGGAATAATGGGGGCTGCTGCCTTCCCCCGTCCAGACTCCAGCCAAGGATATGCACTGGGACACTTCCATTTTAGCCCCACAAAAAGCATGTTGAGGAATGGGAAGGCTCTGAAACCCAAGCTGGGGGTGCCAGGTAAAAAGAGGAGCAGTATTTCTGGGTACCCTTCACAAGAGAAGAGCCTGGAGCCCACCAGGCAGGCCTCTGCAGGAGATGCCCTTGAAGAAGCACCGATGGGAGCAGTGGGGTGTGGGGCTGATGGCATTAGCATTAGCATTGCCCATGACCCTGACCTGCCCGCATGGCAGCTCCATGGTGCTATGCTCCATCCCCCCAGGACCAAGGTACCTGTGTCTCAGTGAGCATCAGCGACGTGGCCACCTCAAAGCGCTTGGGTCTGGACAGATACTTGTTGAGCTTGAACTGGTTCTCCAGCTCCAGGAGCTGCTGGCTGGTGAATGCTGTGCGGGGCCGACGGCATTTCCCCATCAAGCCAGACTGTGGGGCAGCTGTAGAGCAGACAGTGCAGGTAGGGGTCAGGGGACAGCAGACTGGTAGGGGGACAACCCCTCAGCAAACGCAGGATGAAGGAGGAAGGCAAATGTCTCCATCATCTCCCACCCCAATAATGGCTTTATTGCCCGATAGGAACCAGTGAGATACGTTATCAGGCCTCAGTGTACAACTGGGATCAGTGCTGTGACTGAAATTAATTCTCTTTTTTTATTGCTGGGCCGCACAGGTGGCAGCTCAACGGCCAGGGGCTGCAGCGGGGCTGTCCGTGAGCTCCACTATCTCGCCCGCAGCCCTTGAAGGCAGAGCGGCACTGAATCAGGAGGCAGCAGGAACAAAGGGACCTTTGAGAGTCCAGCATGGGGTGGCTGCCGCACTCTGTTTGATCCTTGCTTATCTCCTCTCCACTGGCTTTATTGTCCCCCTGGGGTTCAGCTTTTACGGCTTCTCCCAGCACCACAGTGGCAATCAAACCCAGGGGTTTGCAGCTGGGAATGAAGTGCTGGAGCAGCAGGAAGGGGTTTGGGGGAGAATTGGGGGTGGAGGTGGGCGCTAATGCAAAAGGACCTTGGCACATCCCTGCTGACACATTTTGGGCAACAAGATGGACCATCCTGGCCCTAAAAGTATGTCGTGCTTGGCAAAGGCCACTCCAACTCACCCACTTTGCTGGGCATGGGGCACCATTCATGTTATCTCCCCAGATTCCAGCTTTGATCCCAACCTGCCCATCTCCTGAGGTGTCCACCAAACCCTTCACAAACAGTGATGACGCATGAGGCAGGAATTTATGAAAGAGGTATTAACTGATCACAACACAGGTTTGATCCTAAGGACCTGGATGCTGGGTGGGTCAAACAGACAGAACACAGGCTGGGCTAGGGCAAACGCCTCATGGGAGCAGGATAGACACAACCCCTTCTTCTGCCTGTAGCGCCTCAGTGTCAGGACAGACAGTCTGTGGGACCCACCTTGTAACCACCAGCCAGTTAAATGAGGGACTGACTGAACATGATGCTGATTATTTTGCATATGAAACATATCCAAGCCTAAAACCAAATGAGAGGTTCAAAAGATTTCCAAGACACATAGAGATGAAAGATCCAGTCTCAGCTCTGCAGAGTACGGAAGCCATCTGGGCTCTGACTGGCTGTGGATGCTCTGGCTGTACAAATCCTTCATGGAGACAGGATCAAACAGGTCTGCAAAGGCTTCCTCTGGCTAAGGAAAGGAGGTGTTATGGGAAGCCCTGGGCAGTGTCCAGCAGCCCAAGGACTCTGGGTCTCAGTGAGCCTCCTTTGCTGACAGAGACAGGAGAGTGGCTGGAGCATCTGGAGCCCGAGTCCCTCCCTGCAATGCAGCTGCACTGTGCAGTTTGGCTGTACCAGGTCAGGGAAGGGCCCCTCTGAGCAGTTCCTCTTTCTGAGCATGGTCTGTAGGGAACATTTTGGGGAAAGAGAAGAGAAAAGGTTGTGCTCTCTCAGCATCCAATAATCCAGGAGTTCTGTGCTTTCTGGAGCTGGAGGGTCTAGGAGTGAAAAGATACCATATTCCCAGTCTCAATTCCCCACTCCAGTGCAGAAAACCCAGGTCTCAGCTCCTAGGGCATTGCATCCTCAGCTCCCAGGGCATTGCATCCTGCTCTAGGGCGCACAGAAATCCTTCAGATAAACCTGAAAGTCTCCTCTGTGCCTCGTCTAGCAAGGTCATATGTGACCAGACTAAAACCAGACGTGGGAAGAGCAGAGGTACAGAAATGCCTCACAGAAGAATCTCAGTCCTAAAAGCAATGCAAGTTTGGTCTGTCCAGCTTCAGAGGAGCCTGTATGGCAGCTTGCTTGGACAGCACCCTCTTGAGGGACTCACTTTTCCCCAGGTAAGCTGCTGACTACTTGGGAAAAGAAGAACAGAAAGTTTGTTCAAAAGTCAAATAAATACAAACAGGATATATCCCAAATAACTACCAATGCAGGGGACTGATTTCTGGAGAATGGTCCTGCTGCCAGCCCTGATTTCCCCTTCTCAGTATGCAATTCAGTTTCAGTGCAGTGTGTCCATTACAAACACTGTACAGAGCCTAACTTCCTTGGAAACTCATCCTGCCTCCTTCCCAGTGCTGACAAAAGTACCCCCCCAGTCCTCAAAGCCCTCTGCCACCACCAGTTCAAGCCACCACCAATCCAATGCCCAGCCTATAGAATGTGGCTGGCCATCTAATCTGTGACAATACACCCTTCAGAAGCTGTAAATATCCATCACCACTGCCCCCCACTGTGACTTGTCCAAGATTTGGTCTCCACACCAGGTGGAGTAAGCCCAAGCCAATACAGCTGACCTTCAGCCACCCACGGCAGCAGGACCTGAATGACCAACATCTCCGGCATCAGCTCTGCTGTTACCTTCCCTAAAGGACTCTAGCTCTTGTGTGGAGAGAGTATGATAGAAGAGGATCTCCTGATTCTCACTGGGGAAAGAAAAAAGGAAGGAGGTAAAAGCTGAGACTGAGGGAATGAAGTAGTGGCTGCTGGTAGCTCCAGCCTGCCCTGCCAGTGTGTTTTGCTGAGTCCCATCCCTCCCTGTCCTGTGGCAGGCTGCCACATGGACAAAGAATCCTCTTATGGGGTGGACAGGAAGCATTCTTCCCAGGGCTTACCTTCTCCAGTAAGTGTCAACCAAGCTGTGAACCTACCCCTACCACAATCAGCATCTCAGAAAGAACTACCCTTTGGGAAGGCTCTCCATGTTATCCGCCTTCTACCAGAAGACCAGTGACTGCCTCAGCATCACACCTTTGCTTACCAAAGGATTTATTATCTGCTCTGCCATCTTCTCCAGCACTCCATCCAGGATCAGACCTTGTCTCAACATCCCTTCAGCCTGGCAGGGCTTGGACCCCCTGATGGGTGCCTGGCATCTGGCTGCAGTATCAGTAAATAAATTGCTTGGCCTGGGGCCAGGAATGCCCTCCAAGTCTGAGGCCAGGAGCTCTGCAAGGCAGCTGCCTCCTGGATAATTAGATAAAGCTTATAAAGAATTGTTGGTTTATTTGATACAGTTCCGCCTACTTGATAACAAGGGTAATCCTAGGTTGATATTAACTCACTTGTTTTTAATTTGGTTTGTTTAACTATAGTTCACTTAACTTTGTGGTCTGGCAGATAAAGGAAAGGAAATTAACACCCTGACTGCTTTAGGTGTTTCTCCAGATGTCAGAGCTGGAAAGGAGGGAGGTAGTCTCATCATCAGGGTCATTACCAGAGGGTTTTTCTGACCTGCCAGCAGCCCTGGCCATTATCTGTGGGGCAGCATGTGCAAGGGCACTTGCTACTTCTGCTAGCCCCTTGCTTGCTCCACCATTAAACCTCGATTGCTGCTTGCCAGCTGTTTCCCAGCCCATATTTCCAGCTGACACCAGACCACTGTGCACCTGGTGAGCCTTGGAAGGCATTGCTTTTTGAATAAGTTTAAAAAGACTTATCCTGACAGCTCTCCTAGCCCAGCACAGCCCATCAGTAAGCTCTCTGCCACCATGGGCAGGGTCTAATCTGGGTTCCAGGCCATCAAGTTAGTGAGTGGGTGATGCAAGGAAGTGGTGTGCGAGGAAAGCCACCTAAGCACTGGGTCCCTCAGAGAGGATCCTTCACTCTTCTTGAGAGTCTACAGCTGTATGTCACTGCTCCCCACTTCTACAGCTCTCAGCTGCAGTGGGTCTCTGCACCTGGCTCCCACCTCTGCACAGCATTTCCACACTGACAAACAGGGCAAATAAATCACAGCTCCCAGAGAAACTAACAGGCATGGCAGTCCAGTGCCAAATGCTCCCCCTGGGAGGTTCAGGGGGTGCTCAAAGTCCCAGGATAGAGCAGGCTGGGGATAGCGGAACCTGGGCAGGGAGCATCCCTGCTTTCTGCAGCAAGGGCACGCCTGCTCCTGCACCCAGGCCTTCCACAAGCTCTCACTCCGCATTGCAGCAGAGGCAGCCAGGCACTGCACGTGGCTCTGCACAGGCAGCAAGCGAGGGAGGCACGGCACCTGCTTGTCTCGCAGCGGGGGCACTGCTCTGAGTGAGCCCAGTGCCCAAGCCCAGGCTAGGTTCCTAAGGGTACCAAGTGTCTCAGACTGTCTCCCTGGCATCCTACCTCCCCACACACATGTGATAGCAGGGAGATTGTGTGCCACAAATACCACTGAGCTTACAGTTCATGGGCTGTCCTGCTGCTTCCCCCTCCCTGACTGTCCCCAGGAGATCAAACTAGACCACACCTGCAAAACATTGCTACACATGCACCCAAAGAAGGAATTTATCCCAGAATTTAGTTTTAGAATTCCCTTTAAATAAATGTCAAGGGCAATCTCCCCCTGGGATGATCCATAATATGTCCTAGAACGCTTTCAGATTCATCTCTTACAGCCATCTGTCCACTGCTCCTGGGAGAGTTAAACATGACTGGCACCAGCAGCATTGACACTTATATACAGTCACTCTGGACATGTCAGCCATGAAGGTCCATCCGTCTGTCTGTCTAGGCTGGGTGGTGGGACAGGGACTCCCACAAACTACAGGCATCCCAGGAGCCCTATGCCAACAATCCAAGGCTCCTGCCCAGCCCACCAGCCTCCTCAGAGAGATGAGGAAGGGCTGTGGAGGCAGCACATCCTAGGAAGGTGCCCTTTGCTGTCCCTGCCTACCAGCACCACTGTCCCTGTCCCTACAGCATGGCCAGCACACTGGGGCAATATGAGCCCAGACACAGCCATAACATGCAGCTGGAGCCAGTCCTGGTAAGCACAAGGAGAAGGCATGCTGCAAAGGACCCTGATTTCAGAGCTTCAGTGAGCCCACATGAGCAAGGGCTGAAGATGCACTTGAGAACCCTAATGTTACCAATGGACAGAAATAAGGATGTGAAGATGGATAAGGTTCTCATCTGCACAGCAGAAGAATTGCTGGAGTATTTGACAGGACACTCTGGAGAGAAAGAATCCCTACTGCAAAGGGCTCCTCAGAACTGGGAACAAACACGTTTTAGTAAGGACATTGGGGCAGTGGTTACTCTGATTTAAAAATTTACAGTTTTGGCAGCTTTTGCTGTATCCTTGTTACACCTCCACGTGTCTACCTTGCTTTAGGATCTCCAGAAGCGAGGTAAGTAATACTTGGGTCAGAAACTGATTTTCCTCCCTCTGAGCTTTCATAGGAGCCCTGTTCAGTGTTCCCCACAAGACCCACTGACATTCTGATCCAGTGCATTCTGCAAAGCTCTCTTCACAAGTTGTTCTCATGCCACTAATTTGGCATTTGTTTCCTTTTGGTGAGGTTTTGGATACAAGCAGCTGAAGAGCATATCCTGTTTTTGAGAGGAATGGGGCTGATGTATAAATACCTCTATGTTATCCCAGCCAGAAGCTGCACTCACTGGATCTCACTGCACTTACAGGATCAGATGCAGTGGAGCATTCCCACTCTGGTGAAACACAACCCTGTATGAAGCTACCAGGATGCTGAGATACACCAACAGATACAGACCCTTCAAAGATAACATGGCCTCAGCAAAGAGGCAAGAAGATGTAATAAATAATAAAGATTTATAACTAATAAATATTTATTTTTTTCTTGTCTTAGTGACACGTTTGAAGAGTGCACATAACCCATAGCACTGGAGGCTTATTTACACCTCTAGATTCACAGATGGACCTTTCTTAAGGTCTAGGGAAAGCCAGGTAAAGGGATACAGCATGGGGGAAAAAAACAACCTGTTTCCCTGACCAGGTAATAAATGGGATTTTTCAAGTTAATTCTCTATAATTTTTTGCACCGTTATTTATCCAGCCTTTTAAAATTATTATTATTTTACAAACGGGCTTCCAGATTTTTAAGACACTACACTCAGCTAACAAATCTGGATGCTCTGATGGGGCTTTGTTAACCAGTCACTCCTGATTTAACGCCCATCTCTGCACTGGCCAGCACAGGGCAGGGGACCCTGCCAGGGGTCCCCAACGGGACAAGTGCCTGAAGTCAATTCTTGTTCCGTCCGTGCCCCGCAGGACCTTTCACGGCTTGGCCCATCAGAGCAGTGCGGGATCCGGTGCCTGCCCGCAGCCCTGGTGGTGTCCCCAGGAGGGGCTGGGGCAGGGCTGGAGCCGAGCACGCTGTGGGGCCGGCCGCTTTCTGCAGCTGCCGCCCGCAATGAACTCACCGGGCCCTGATCGCCTCTAGCCAGGAGCCAGGACCCTGC